CGCCCGCGGCCTCTCTGCGCGCCCCGCCGGCCAGGCTCGCCTCGGAGCCGGTTCCCGCGGGTGTCCGCGTCCCGCCCGGGGGTGGGAACCGGGCGCTCCTCGGTGGTTGTCTTTCTAGCTGTTGACAGGTCGTGCGGATAGCCTTGGTTCGGCCTCCAGGCGGTGAGAAGGAGCGGCTCCCAACAGGTCGCACGTTCTGCAGCCACCACTGGCGTCCCTCACCTCTCTGAGCGGCCACGGGCTGCGAGGGCCCGGGGCAGAGGACAGAGGTTAAAGTCCGAGGGCGGGGGCGGTGAGCGGCCGCTGGGTCAAAGCTGCTTCACGGGACAGCCTCGGAGACGTTGCCGGTGGCTCCGGGGTTCACAATGTCCAGGGCCTGAAGGTGTCCGCAGAGGCTGCCTGGTGAGAGGCACGGTGTGGGGTGGAGGGTGGAGGAGAGAACTGGCGGGGGGTTTCCAGGGTTCGCTACAAACCCCTGGGGGCTTAGGACAAGCTGCTGCCTGTGTGTTGTGGCAGTTTCCTATGCAGTCTCAGCTCAGTTTCTGATTGGGTACGGAAACTGCAGGTTGGTAAAGGTCAGAGGCACCGACCGTCAGCTTCTGATCGGAGACCGGCAAGTCCTCAGCACAAGGGAAAGGCGCCGGACTGCTCCACAGCAGACGGGGGCAGCTCTGAGGGCAGAGAGCACTCTCTCCTGGCGTCCTTGATGTTACTGTTAGTGTCTGGGCGGACGCTTCCTGCGTGTGTGCTCTGGATCTGGGAATGAAGAATTCGGGAAGGCTCTGAGCCTCCGAGGCGCGCACTCAGGCAGGCAGTAAACCGCACGGACGCAGGTACCAGGCCGCCATGGGCCAGGGGGCAGCAGCGACACAGCCCGAAGGGGGGCGTTGCTGTCTCGAAGTGCAACCCTTTCTCCAAAGCGTGTTTTCCTCCTGAGTGACTGTCAGCCACTCTTCTGCCTGCCTGCGCCGCAGACATGTGCACACCTTGGGTCCTAGCAGCTTCTCAGATACCCTATTTTTTTTCCCCAGTACTAGGGACAGAACTCCACATTTTCAGTTTGCATGGAGCTATGTCCTTGGCCCTTTTATTTTTGTTGCTGTATAGTGGTTGTTTTCTCTGCAGCGGCCGGGGAGGGGCTGTTGAGAGACTATTGCCATGTAGTTCAGGCTGGCCTTGAACTCACTATGTAGCCCAGACCTTGACTTCACAGCCATCTGCCTGCCTCAGCCTCCTGAGTGCTGGGATTACAGGCATGTACTAACATGCCCCGCTGTTTTGCTTTGTTTCTGAGACAAGGTCTCACTGTGTTGCTCAGAGCTCGCTCAGAGCTCCTCAAAACCCTCTTCACCCCGAGCTGTAAACTGTGTGGATGCATTTCATGCCCATCTCCCCAGCCCCAGAGGCAGACTGCTCAGCTCCTGCCTAGCAGAGACAGCCTGGGAGCAGAGGCTGAAGCAAGCGGCGCTCCAGTCCTGGCCTGAGTTCCCTCTTCTTGTGTCAGCTTCCCTCTTCTGAGTAGAATTTATGCCAACCCAAAACATATGCAGCCCCAGACCAAGTGCTATGGAGCCCGGACTTTGCCAGAAGCAGTGGAGTTCAGAGCGATCCCTTCTGCTATTCAAGTCCATTTCCTTAGCTTTAAAATCAAAGAGGTCAATCAAAGAGGTTGGCCGATGAAGTCTTTTTTGTTTTGTTTGGTGTTTCGCCTCTATTTTTTTTGGTACTGGGAATTGAACTCAGGACCTCACGCTTGCCAGGCGGGCGCTTGTGCCGCTGAGCTATATCCCCAGTCTAGTGTTTCTCCTCTAAAGGTAAAGTATTAAAATTATTGTACAAGACATTTAAAAGTATAATACACATGTGCATGAAGGTGAAATATCTTACCAAACGGGGCTGTTCATCTGCCGAACAGAGTGTCTGTGAACCCAGAATCTGAAAGACGATCTGATTCAGCTGCAGACACATCTCAAAATTAAACCGTCTCTGCGCTTCCCGCCTTTGCCTTCTCCCTCTGTTCCTCTGTTCTGTTTTCACATCTTGAGGTCCTGAGCATCAGCCATAGCCTCACTGTGTCAGTCATCTAGATTGGAGGTTTTTCAGTAAAAAGCCTACAGAGCCAGAGTCTTACCTGCTTTCGACAAAACTGGACTAAAAAGTATTTGGATAAGCTTGCAGTGCATATCACATTCCCTTTAAGGGAGAAACAGTCCATTGTTACAAAATATTAGGAACCTTGCTTTTAGTGTATTTCTTTCCTTCCTTGAATCATTCCCTTTGTTAAATCACTATTTCATATTCTTCTCTTAAAAAATTTGATCACTTGGAAAGTCAGATTCTGTAGTATTACTTCATAAAGTAGGGCTTGGCCAGGCCTGGTGGCGTATACCTGTAATCCCAGCACTCGGGAGGCTGAGACAGGAGGACTGTTGTGAGTTCGAGACCAGCCTGGGCTACAAAGTAGGCTCAAGGCCAGCCTGAACTGCATAGGGAGACCCTGTCTCAAAAAGGCAAAATAATAATAATAATAATAATAATAATAATAATAAAAGTAGGGCAAAAGCCAAGCATGGTGGTGCATGCCTGTAATCCCAGTACTTGGGAGGCTAAGGCAGGAGAATCACCATGAGTTCAAGGCCAACCTGAGCTACCCAGTGAAACCCTGTCTCAAAATAAATAAAGAAAAATAAAATAAAGCATGAGGTGCTGGGGATGTAGCTCAGTGGCACAAGCACCTGCCTGGCAAGCACGAAGTCCTGAGTTCAATTCCTGGCACCAAAAAAAAAAAAAAAAAGTCAAAAAGACAAAAAAAAAAAAAAAAAAAGAAAAGAACGTGTGTTATTTTTCTTTGTATCCCATGTGTCTAGCATTGTATCTGGCACATTACATCTGTTCATTGAAAGAATGGTTAATATTTTAGAGAAAACATGTTTTTGAGTAGTAAAACACATCTACCACTCATGGCTAGTACAAGCTGACTTGTCTTTCGTGTACATTGTAGTCTTGTAACTTAGGCGCATTTGTTAACACCAACACATTCTATACTTCTTACATTTGTAGTTTGTATAATAAGCCCCAAATTCAAGTTCTGCCACTAAATAGCTGTCATATTTGAAGCTGAAGACCAAACATCTCTATGTCTCCATTTGTTTAGAGGGAAAACGGAGGCATCAAGAAAGACAAACTCTAAGCAAGCTTCTAGTTCTTAGATTAGGGAGCCTTCAAAAGATAGAGAAAAAGAATTAGTCAAGTTGAAAAGAGGAAACCAATAAACATTAATAATTGCAATGTATGGCCAGGTATGGTGGTGCATGCCTATAATCCAGCACTTGGGAGGCTGAGGCAGGAGGATGGCTGAGAATTTGAGGCCAGCCTGGGCTACATAGTCAGTTCAAGACCACCCTAAACTACACAGCAAGACCCTCTTTCAAAAGAAAACCGTAAGAATTAGTACTTTGACATTTTAAATATTTACAATGTCTTTATTTGTCAAAATTTCTTTTCTTTTCTTTTTGCCTTTTTGAGACAGGGTCTCGCTATGCAGTTCAGACTGGCCTTGAGCTCACTTTGTAGCCCAGGCTGGTCTCGACGATCCTCCTGCCTCAGCCTCCTGAGTGCTGGGATTACAGGTGTGCACCACCACGCCGGGCTATTTGTCAAAATTCCTAACCTGACCTCTATCATTGGCAAAAATGTTAAAGGAACTTCCTGGGGTGAAGACTCACCTGCCCCCATGTCTGAGGTCTCCCCTGGAAACTGTCTGACTGACTGAGCTCACAGAAGACTGAGAACATATCTACAGCAGACAGGCTAGAGAGCCAGCTGCTTTGGCATGAAATAGTCAGTAGGATGACATGCTCATATAGCTCAGAGGACCCAGCCACCTAGATAAGTACCTTGAAGCTGGCACCTGGGCATATTGGCATAGCTGAAGAATGGCCTGTGAGGAATGGTTCATCTAATGCAATCAGATAAGTGCTGCTGCGCCTGCAGCCAAAGGGCCTTCCCAACCTGCAGGAGGTAAGGTCATTTTTCCTTGGCCACTGGGACAGAGTCCAAGGCCAGCGCTGGGTGTCAGGTCCTTCCCTCTCAGCGTCAGCACTTCCAGCTTCCTCGGCAGGGACGGGGCCCGTGCCCATGCCCTGGGGAAGGAACCAGAGCTGCCTCGCCCAGGACCAAGGTCGTACTGTGCTGCTTGCCAGCCTTGTCTCTTGGCCTTTGTCTTTAACATCTGTTTCTGTTTATTCATATTTCATTTCCAGGCCCCATCTCAAGGGAGTTTGAGGTAACTTCCAATAAAAGGAGATGTACAACAGAAGAGCTGCAATTAAATAAAAACTGGTTCGGAGGCATCAGAATCCAAACACCTTTCCTGTCATTTTGATGGGGAGGGTATGAGGTGTACAGAGGACAAGCACTTTAACTGCTGCTGGAGAGGACGGAGAGCAGCAGCCCCCGAGCATTGTGTTGTTTTTAAAAAATCAAATTTTATTTTCTCCACTGTTTCAATATCAGTTTTATTAAGATTTATCTTTTTGTGGTTTAAATTATAGTTCTCCAACACTTTTCTGTTTTTCAGTACTGGGGATTGGACTGGGCCAGGGGCTTAAAAATGAGCCGCATTCCCAGCTCTTCTTTATTTTTGGAAAATGACGTTTCGCTAAATTGCCTAGGCTGGGCTCAGACTTTCGACCTTCCCACCTTAGCCTCCCAGAATGTGGCTCTGCAAGGGTGTGCCACTGTCCCTGGTTTAAACCCTTTTTTAATGATTGCCTTCTTGCTAATTCTTGTTAGGCTGCATTTTAAAAGAGTCACTGAACAACATTCATATCCATTTACCCTTTCATAGAACTCAGAAAAATCTTGGTCCTTGTGTTTAACCGAAAATCAAGAAGCGACCCACTTGAGTTAGAACCCACTTTCAGTCCCAGTTAAATAAGCCCATTCTTTTCCTTACAGTGGTGACGCTTTAATAACTAGGACAAATGAAGAGAGAATAAATTAACGTTTGTTTGGTGAAAAGCTTTGGGATTTTACAGTTGACAGACCTAAAATTTATTCTCCCTTCCCTCCTGCCACACCTGTTTCTTCCAGACAGAGTCTACCTCTTATTTGTTTTTTTGTTTTGTTTTGTTTTGTACCGGGAATCACTCAGGACCTTGCACTTTCCAGGCAGGTGCTGTACTGCTGAGCTATATCTTGGGCCTCTACCTCTTTCTTTCTTCTTCTTCTTCTTTTTTTTTTGGTCTTTTTTGAGACAGGGTCTCACTATGCAGTTTAGGCTGGTCTTGAACTCACTTTGTAGCCCAGGCTGACCTCAAAGTCACAGTGATCCTCCTGCCTCAGCCTCCTGAGTGCCAGGATTGTAGGCGTGAGCCACCACACCCAGATATGCCCTACCTCTTTCTTATTTGTTTCTTCATATGACTTTTAGAACCAGTTTCTCTTTTCCAGAAACAACAAAAACACAGCCAGCCCTGACTCCCAAACCCTGTCCCTAGCTGCGTGTAGGAAGCATACTTGCCTGCCCTCACCTGTGCTTTCTCATTCCAGATGAAGGGCGATGCGGGGAGCCAGCCGCGCATGGAGAAGTCCAAGCAGGTAAAGCAGCAACCCATGCGCCCAGCCCTGAGCGCCCTCACATCTGCCCAAAAGTCGGGTGAGGCTGCCACATGCTGCTGCTCTAATTTCAGTGCCTGAACAGAGACCACCTGTTCAGAATTCAAACTCAGACTTCCTTGTAACTACAGGAGGGGTCGTTTTCCTGCATGGGGAGCGCGTGTGCGTGCGTGCGTGCGTGCGTGCGTATGTGCGTGCGTGTTGGGAGGTGAACATCCCCACAGCTGTCTCTCTGTTGTCTCTTGACCTGCCTGCCACCTACGGGCCTAAGCATACCCGTGACTCAGGCTTTAGGACCACACCTTCCCGAGCCTGCTCCAGGACAACAGAGGCCCATGGGGTTGGAGTCGGGACCAGGAACCGACCCGGACCCCAGCTCCCCCTGGCACTGTGAGTTCCTGTGCATCCCAGGGAACCTACACCTTAGTTGTTATATTCCTTTCATCTGGGATGCTGGAGAGATTAAAAAACACCATCCCTGAGAAAATCTAGCCCTGTACATGAAATTCAGATTGTAACTTGACTGCCTTTGATTTGATGAATTCAAAAGACAAAAAATTCCGAGTCCAGAAAAGTTCCTAAGAAAAGTCCTCAGAATCTTAAAACTGGAATCGTCAGAATAGCCCGAAGTAACCCGTCCAGTAAGATCGTGGTGACCTCTGCATGGCCAATGTCACAGAACAAGCTCTTCTCTGTCCCAGGCAGACAGACAAGACACCCAAGCACTTGTCAGCAAAGCTCAGCACCCTGACAAGCGCTGGTGCTACAGACTTCACTGGCCATGGCAAAAGACATTTTTTTTGTTTGGTTGTTCTTTTGATCAAAAATGGGATGTAGGGGCTGGGGATTTAGCTCAGCAGCACAGTGCCTGCCTGGCAAGCGTGAGGTCGTGAGTTTGATTCCTGGTACCGGAAAAAAAACAAAACAAAACAAAAAGGATGTAATAATGCCGAGAAGAAACAATCCAGTACAGATCCACATTGCTTGGAATGGATCCATCAAATCAGTGTTGTTGCCTTGGGTGGTAAAAGTTGGGCTTGAAATGCAGCCCTCATAGGATTAGCTTCCCTCCCGCTCCACTGGCTCCACTGGCCCGCTGCACGAGAGCAACCCACCGCAGGCCTCCAGGCTGTCCTTTTTTTACTTTACTCTTTTGGTGCTGGGAATCGAACTCACAACCACACACTTGCAGGCAGGCACTGCACTGCTGAGCTCTATGCCCAGCCCCAGATCTGTCAAGGAATCCAAACAGCGCCCACCTGGGCTTAGGCACATAGGATGTGCGTGTGACATCATTCCCATCTGCAGTACGAGGGAGAATGGTGTCGCGTCTGGAAGTCGGTGTTGAGCTGAGTCTGCACCATGCTGCTTGGCCTTGGAGCATGCACTGGGCTCTGGCTGAGAGAACCTTCCAGAGGAGACTAGAAAACAGCTGCCCAGCGCTGGCCACTGACCTCTTTATTCCTCCAACAGCTAATCATTCCCTCCATCTGGCAGCCCTGGCTAATCTTGCAGAAGGCAGAGGGATTATTGAAAGTCAGAGCACGTGTTCAGTGCACTCTTTTCTTCAAAGGCAAGAGGGTGGTAGGACGGGAAAATAGGCCTGGCCCATGAACACTGAGGTTGCTATGACTTAGGAAGGATTTCCTCCAGGTGCTTCGATACTGAGTGTCTCAATCTTTCCTGCCCACAGGAATTACCCAGAGAGCTTTAAAAACATGGTGACTCAGGTCCCGCCCTGAGACTCTTGGGTAATTGGGTTGGAGAGGGCTCTGGGTATTCTCTGGGTATTGGGTTTTTTGTTTGTTTAAGTTGATTCCAAAGTGCAGAGAATGGCTGTCTCCATTTGCCCAGAGGACTGGTGATAAATCGCGTAGCTGTGGGAGAAGGCCTTCTCTGAGTGATACAATTGCCCAACAGTGTCTCTGGAGGCAGGGTAATTCCCAGCCACCTGAACGTGGAGCTGTACTTTTCACAGACGCACCAGGCACTGCAGCGAGCGGCCGGAGGGGCGGGGCGGGGCGGCCCGCAGTGCAGGGAAGGGTCGGCAACGTGCTTGCCAGTGGCGTGGCAGGTGGCAAGCTCATGCCGCTGCGGTTGGGCCTTGGCAGTGAGCGGGGTGGACGGAGGAGCTTGCTGGGTCTGACCCCCTGTCGTCCTGCTCCAGGAGGGGCACATCTGGGGCTCCATGCGGAGGACGGCGTTCATCCTGGGCTCTGGTCTTCTCTTGTCTGTGGCCTTCTGGAACTCTGTCACATGGTATGTCTGCACCTTGAGTGTCCGGGACCTGTGGGGAGCCTGGCAGCCTTGGGGCAGAGCTTGGAGTAAGAAGCTGCCTGCCCACTAGTTTTCACCCAGAAACCTGAATGGTTTTTCTTCCAAGGCATCTTCAGAGATTTTGGGGTGCTTCTGGCTACTTTTGGCAAGCCCAGTGGGAGAGGCTGCTGCTGAACTTTGAAGGGAAAGAGTGGATCCTCTTCATAACAGGTGAGGTCTCCAGACCACTTGCACCTAGGCCGCGGGTATGGCATTTTAGCTTCATTCTTTGTCTACTCTTCTGTTCTCTGTTTTAAGACTTTCCAGTTTATTATTACAAAAGATATGACTGGAAGTTTAGTGGTCATACCTGTGAATACTAAGCTTGTGAGCAGTTTGGAAAGAGCATATCTAAAAAAGAAGCTCAGAGATTGAGGGCCCCATCCCTAAACACAGGAAAAGAACTCTTTTGCATAAAGTGAATGCATTTTACAGCAATAATCTAGCTTCTGCGTACGACTCCACAAGTGCAGGGAGCTGTCTTGTCTGAGACCGTCCCTGTGGCTCTCAAGCACCATGGTGCCGAACAAACTTAAGAAAATACCATGGAAGGAGAAAGCCTTAAAGACAACAGTGAAGGTTCTCCATCATCCAATGATATTTCTCCTTCCCTCCCTCCCTCCTTTCTTTCCTTTCTTTTCAATTTTTGGGACAAAGTCTTGCTATGTAGTTCAGATTGGCCTTGAACTGTGTAGCCCAGGCTGGCTTTGAACGTGTGGTGATCCTCCTGCCTCAGACTCCTGGGTGCTGGGATGACAGGCGTGTGCCACCACACTGGCTCTTGATGATATTTTTAACATTACACTATGCCAAGCCTGTGTGAGGACTTAGAAACATTAAAGATGAAACATTTGCCTGCCCCATTAGAAAATATGTCAGTCTAGGAGGGGAAGGCAAAATTACACATAAAACGTGCCCAGGGACTGTTTTCAGTGAGAAGGAAAACTCGGAAAATAGGCTGAACATTAACCGTGACAGGCTCAGTGGCGTCTTTGGCAGTCACTGAGAGAAGCAGGTAGTTGCAGACGTGTGTGTGGAAAGCAGCAGGGAACACTTTATGTACGTCTGTTGCCACCGATTACTTGGCGGAGGACAGGACTGGCCAGGGGTCTTCCGGACCCCGAGGCGAGGGAGCGGGAAGAGGGCTGGGGAGACACGGAATTAAGGGAATGCTCCTGCCCCTGTTGGGATTTGGAATCTGGTGGAGGAGCCAAAAGACGCACAAGTAAAGTGAGCAATTCTAGAGTTACAAAACACTGTGCTGTCACTTGAATGACTACCAAGTGCAGAGGCCAAAGCACTCTTTGTTCACAGTGGGAAGCAGAGATACTTGAAATGACTTCGTAGAAAGGTGGGATATGGAGCAAAAGCCAAAGCTAAATTTTAAGTCATGATCAGCATTTTTTTTTTTTTTTTTTTGGTCTTTTTGAGGCAGGGTCTCACTATGCAGTTCAGGCTGGCCTTGAGCTCACTTTGTAGCCCAGGCTGGTCTCGAACTCACAACGATCCTCCTGCCTCAGCCTCCCGAGTGCTGGGATTATAGGCGTGCGCCAACACGCCCGGCTAATGATCAGCATTTTCTAAAGTACCCTGCAGCACATTGCTGCTATGGAAAGTTAATAGGTAGAGTGGACATACCCATATATCTTCCCCAGGAAGAGTGGAAGATGTTATATTTATGCTGGAATGACAAATAGAAATTCAAATTGTCATGGGCAAACAGGATGAATGTTGTCCTATTGTTAGGTATTCTGGGAAAACAGTGTTCTAGGGTCAAACAGGGCTAAGAGGTTTTGTTTTGTTCTGTTTTAAGATACCAGGGATTGAACACAGGGCCTTGTCATTGAACTACATCCCCAGTCCAACTCCTTTTTTATTGTGAGATTTCACCAAGTCCCTGAGTTGTCCAGGCTGGGTTCAGACTTTTGATCCCCCTGCCTCAGCCTCCCAGAATGTTGGGATTACAGGTGTGCACCACTGTATCTACAATGGTTGATTCTGACACAGATTCCTCTGCTGCAGGAATTCTGAGTGTGTGCACAACAGTTTGGACCACAGCTCTCCAAGGAGTAGGGCATGGAAACTTGCGGCAAGGAGCCCCTTCAGAGAGGTCTTCCATCTTGGGGTGCTGACTGCAGGATGCCCGAGGGCGAGCTGCTCAGTTAGTGGGGGAATAGATGAGGCTCCCCACTGACTGGTGTTTTTCCCTGACAACTTGTAAAGGACTCGGTGGACAGAGACTAAATTCAGTTTTGTGTTAGAGTATTATGTATAGTACAAGGTGTGACCAAAACGTATGGTCGTTTAAATTCTAAAAATATAGTACAGGTGCACTGCCGTTAATCCCCTCAGAACATTCCCTCGCACTGTGAACACACTTATCCCATTCCAGAAGTCCTCTCTGGTGTCTTTACAAGGTGTGATAGAAAATACAGTGGAGGGGTGAATGCTGCTGCCATCCAGCAGAAAGGCAGGCTTGTAACCTCACTAAGCCATGTTCAGACAGTGCGTCCTCGTCCACCTTATTCATCAGATCTGGCACTGTGCAACTTCTGGCTCTTCCAAAGTCAAAATGACCAGGAAAGGTAAATGTTTTGATTGATTGAGGACATCACTGCAGCCGTGATAGTGCAACTAAAGACCCTGATGAAAGAGGACTTCCAGACCCGCTTCAGAAAGTGGCGAGAATGATAGGATAAGTGTGTCTGAAGTGAGGGGGAGATTTTGAGGGGAATTAATAATGACATGTCTTTTGCTGTAATAGTTTTCATTTTTTTTTTTGTAACAGTTTTTTTAAAAAGTAGATATTCACCATATATATATATATATTTTGGTTCTGGGACTCAAACTCCTGACCTCATGTTTATCAGGCAGGCACCAAGCAGCTGAGCTATATCCCCTGCAAAATACTATTTCACCATACTTTTGATCATACACTGTATTAGCATCCTCTATGCTATATATTAGCATAATTTGTCTCTCGTTACCTTAGAGATTGTTGTACCCATTTTACAGCTAAGAGAGTAAATACAGACAATCCTTAAGTGACTGTCCTTGTTCCCACAGCTAGTCTGTCCCCCAGGACTAAGGGCCAGCCCCCAGGTCCTGAACACTAAGACCTGGCAGCGCACAGTCCGTGTAAGGCGTGTGTGTTCAGTTAAGCTGCGTGTTCTAAGACCAGAAGCCGTTCTAACTTCCCTCTCCTTCCCGACCTCAGGCGCTGCCCTAGTGCCTGGGCTGTTTTTCTGGGCCTTCAACGGGCTTCTACTTGTGGTGGACACAACTGGAAAACCGGCCTTCATCTCCCGCTACCGGATTCAGCTGGGCAAGAATGAGCCCGTAAGTGCTGCTGCAGCTCCTGCAGTCAAAGCCTGAAAGCCAGTCTCGGCCCAGGGGGGCCAAGGCCGGTGCAAGCCACGGGATCATATTCAAGGCTCCCTCAGTCTAGGAAGAAATCTCTGCCCAGACTGTCATAGCCACTCGGCTAATGGCCGGGCTAGACCAGTACTCTTGTCTCCTGATTCCCAGCCCAGGCTCTGTACCTACCGGTCCGCAGCGCTTGGTCAGCGTTTTAGGAGCAGCCTGGGGCCGGCTGCCCCCGAGAGGTCAGGCAGCTCCCCTATCCGCAGGGACAGGGACAGCAACGCTGGGCATTGCAGCTACAGCCACCCACTGATGCCGCGGGACAGATGGCAGCCCAACCACGATGCCCCACTGTGTGGTTCCGAATGGGTGGGTGCTGGCTGCTCTCCCCACGGTCCAGCCCAGCAGACGGGGCAAGGTCCTAGGGAAAATCCCCGAGAGACAAGCCCAGACCTGCCCGGCACCGGGAAGTGGATCCCACTGCTGTCTCAGCCTGGTTCACCTGCTGCTGGGTGCTCTGAGAACTTCCAGAAACCTTTTCTTACACAATAAGGAAGGGTGGAGTCTTGCCTCAGTTCCACCCCAACCACTGCCTGGCTGCTTTTCCAGCCCAGGCAATCACCTTTTAACCACCTGCCTAGGTGTGGAGTGAGTCACCCCAGCTTCAGGGCATTCCTCCTCCGCCACCACATCAGAAGGTGGACAGGGTGAGAAACAGCGCTCTTGACCCCGTCCATGGGAACAGGCTTTGCAGTCCAAACTGCACAGCATTCATCACTTCGTGTCTGTTCCAGGAAATAGTTCAGCAATTCCCTCTTCTGTTTTCACACATCTCTGCCCCAGATTATTCCTTCCTCTCTGGATTGTTACAAACACACTCTGATTTTTCTCATTTTAAAATAAACTTTGGCCTGGTGTCGTAGTGCCTACCTATAATCCCAGCACTCAGGAAGCTGAGGAAGGAGGACTGCCATGGATTCAAGGCCCACCAGGGCTCTATAGTGAGATCCTGTCCTAAAACACTGAAACAAACTCTTCACTGCATTTCCCTCACTCACTGTCACACTACCTGCATATTTTTATTGCCCTGGGCATGTGGAGCATATTTATAATCCTAGCACTCTGGGAGGCTGAAGCAGGAAGATCACAAGTTGGAGCACAGTCTAGGGAACTTAGTGACACAGGAAGACCCTGTTATGGTTTCTATCTAGATGTCCCCAAGCCTCATGTACTATAGGTGGGGCTTTGGGGAGTGACTGTGAGGGGGTGGGCGTGGATTCATCCACTTAGGAGTTTATCCCTGGGATGTGAGGAGGTGGACCCTGGTGGAGGAGGTGGCTCACCGGGGACGTGGCCTACAAGGGTCTCTCTCCTTCCTCCTCCCCCATCTCTGTCTGATTCCTACTGCCCTGAGACAAAACTGGTTCTCTGCCATGCTGCCCATTGAGCCAGCCGGCTATGGGCCGAGAGCTCCACAAACTGCCAGCTAAATAAACCGTTCCTTCCTTACGTTCTGGGTGTTGGGTAGAAAGTGAGGCAGACCTGTCTCAAAATAAACAAAAAAGGACCAGGCAGCCAGGGATGTACTTTACTGCGAAGGCCCTGGGTTCATCTCTAGTACTGCAAAAAACAAAACAAAACAAAGTGAAGCTTTAGAGTTGTCTCTATAGTTCCAATTCTTCTCTGTTTTCTTTATTATAAATACGTTGTTACAATGATGGAAAAATTGAAGCATACAGACATGATGAAAACTAGTATGGCGATCACTCGTTTACATACCATGCAGACTACACAATTTTAAACTTATTACAACTTTTGCTTTATCCATATAAAAGATAAACATATATGCACCTAGAATTTTTTATTTAACTATTTGAAAGTAAGTTTAAGCCATAAGACTTCACCCATAAATCAATCTTTCAGCCTTTATCTCCTAAAATAATCACAACAGCATTATCTTTTTTCTTTTTTTTTTTTGAGACAGGGTCTTGCTCTGTAGCTCAGGCTGGCTTTTTTTTGGGGGGGGGGTCTTTTTGAGACAGGATCTCCCTATGCCGTTCAGGCTGGCCTTGAGTTCTCTTTGTAGCTCACGCTGGTCTCAAACTTACAGCGATCCTCCTGGCTCAGCCTCCTTAGTGCTGGGATTACAGACATGCGCCACCATGCCCGGCTTTGTTCAGGCTGGCTTTGAACTCACTGTGTAGCCCCGGTTGGCCTTGATTTTGAGCAATCCTCCTGCTTCAGCCTCCCGAGTGCTGGATTACAGGTGTGTGCCACAATGCCTGGCCTCATCTATTTCTATCGACCACCTCTAATCCAGCAGCCATTCCCTGTTTCAGTCACCTTTCCCACCCGTGGGACCAAACACCCAACACCCACAACTTAGAGGAGAGGTCTGTTTGGCTTCCAGCTTCCAGTGGGTTCAGTCCAAAACTGAATTGCTCCAAGGCAGCAACAGCGTGGTGGAACAGTATGGCGGAAGGAGGAGAGCTGCCCAGTCCACTCTGGGAAGGCAGCAGAGAGAGAAGGGAGGAGCTGGGACGGGACTCCACCCTTCCAGGTCACACTCCAGGGACCCACTCCAGCCAGGCTGCCTCCAAACAGCACACTCATCTGCTCGACTCCTCAGTGGACGAGTCCACTGATGGACACGCGAGATTGTGTGTGGGTGAGTTCAGATCAAAGCCATGCCCTCCAAAAGGGCTCCACAGGACTCCTTTCGGCAAGTTGATCAAGGCGCCAGGCCCAGGCTTCTCACAGGAACACCAAGTGCATTTTCACAGCTGCTCATTCCCTCACCCGTGACTGATTTCCTTCACGTGGCTTCCAAGCCCCCCCGGAGGTCCTCCGTGGCTCTCACCCTGTCCTACTGATCTCTGCTTCCCTCTCCTTCCTGGTATCTTCTCCCCAAGCTCTGACTGTGGAAGGCCAGGGCTCTGACTTGGACCCTCTCTTCTTTATTTCATTCCCTCATTTATCCATTCAGCGCCTTGGTCTTAAATACCATCTGTATGCTCACAACTCACAAATTTGCCACAGGATTCTCTCCTGAGTTCCAGGCTCAGATATCCAAGGCGGCCCTTGACATCTCCATGTGCGTGCTAAAAGACAACTCCAGTTCCACCGACCCACAGAGCATCACTGCTTACCCGCTCCCGGCCTGTACTGTCCGTGGCCTCCCTAACCCGAGCTGATGGCAGTTCCATCCTTCCAGCTGCTCAGGTGCGAAACCTGTCAGTCCTCCTACTCTCTCCTTCACACCCACACCCACTGGCAGGAGCCTTAGTGCTGTATCTGCACAGCACACTGACCAGAACGCGGTCACTTCTCCCCTCGCCGCTGCTACCTCGCCGGTCCGTGTCACCGCCGTCTCTGTTTCACTGCAGTTCTGGTTGGTCTCCTTGTTCCTCCCATCACTTCTCTACAGCCGGTCACACTTCTAACTCTGCATTGGCTTCTGGTTCCTCTTGGAGTAGAAGCCAAAGCCCTTAAGTGGCCTACGGGGACCTCTGTGACCTGGCCCTCCCAGCTCACCGACTTGTCTGTAACTCACTCATGACTCCTCTCGAGCCACACTGGCCGGGAATGTGCCTTAGAACCTTTTCAGCGCTCCTCCCTTTCCTGGAAGGCTCCTCCCCCGCATGTTTGGCCACCTCCCTCTCCACGGTTCAGATCTCACCTCGTCTATGAGGTCTACTCTTACCATGATGTTCAAAATGAATGGTGACTGGCCCCTACCTAAGCTCCCACTGCGCCTTCCCTTCCTTTACTTTTCCTTTTACCTGAACACTCAATCACCTTTTAATATAACAAATACATTTTTGTATTGTTTCTAGTCTGTCTTCCATACCAGAATATTAACTCTGCAAGAGCAAGAACACTGAGTGCTACATAGTGAACACTCAATACCTTCCAGATAAATGAACAATGACTAGACAGGTGTGACTGGTACCTCCCTCCTGATCAAAGTTACAAGAACAGGTATCATCTTATGTGTGATCCCAAACCAGGCTGGTCAGACCTGGCCTTATAGTGGGACGGAAGTAAAAAATCAGAGTAAATTCTGAGCTTAAAGGGCGTGTGGCCATTTGGGGCTAGCTCTGCAGAGCAGACCCTGGCAGGCCCCTATCCCGACAGCTGCTCACCTGACAACCGGGGTGTAGCAAGGGGCTGGGACAGCGGCTCCCCCGGCTTGCCTCCCTCTGTGCTCTGCACCCAGTCCAGTGAGGCTGAAGGGCTAAACCAGGGTATCAACCTGAGAGTCAACAACCTTCCCCAGCTACTCTGGGGGATTCCTAAGTTACCTGCTAGAATACATGGGGCCCCGCCAGAGAAGTGGGGAGGACACGGCGACACCTGCAGAAGCAGGAAGAAGACAGGTTTAGGTAGAGGCTGAGGCAGCTGGGGCAGCTGACAGGAGCAGGGGCCTTACTCACTCGCCGTGTTCCCAGCCCCAGGCTGCTGGCAGGAGCTGCAACTGGGCCCCTACAGCTCTCGAATCCCAACCCTAGTGAGGGGCTGCTCCTCACTCCTGTCTCTCTCTCCCTCTTCCCTTGGTCAGGTGGACTCTGTGAAACTGCACCAGGCCATCCGTACAGTTCTCTTCAACCAGTACCTGATCTCACTCCCCATCGTGGTCTTCCTCTACCCCTTCCTCAAGTGGCGGGGAGACCCCTGCCGCCGAGAGCTACCTACCTTCCACTGGTTCCTCCTAGAGCTGGCGATTTTCACCCTGATTGAGGAAGTCTTGTTCTACTATTCGCACCGGTGAGCAGGGGCCCTGCCTGCGCACGGCTGGCTACTCACTCTACCTGTAACTCACGGATCGACAAGAAAGTGAGGCGTCTGAACTCAGGTGTAGGACCGACACCCTCCAGCCTCAAGTCTCCCATTGAATGGTTAACAGGGTGACAGCTGTTTGTCCTGGAAGTGACAACTGGAGACAACCAGGGAATGTTCAGAAAAGAAAGGGCAACTCCGTCTGCATGGGATAGCACTTTCCTTCTCATTTCCTGTTCATTCCTATATTCAGAACGAATCTCTTCTGGGAGTCACCCCATTTCCCAGCTCAAACAGTTGGGGTAGAGAGGGAAAGCAGCCTGCCCCCAAAATACACAGCATAAAGGGGGGAGCCCCAGCCCACAAGCAAGTCTGAGTGCCCGTGTGGGTGTTCCCAACTTTGCTCCATAGATACGACCCTGAGCTCCAACCTTCAGTTTGTCACGGTCTGGCCAGGGAGGAGGAAAAGAGAATCAGCAGATGATTAACTTTTTCCCCAGGCTCCTGCACCACCCAACACTCTACAGGAGAATTCATAAGAAACACCATGAGTGGACAGCACCCATCGGTGTGGTCTCTCTGTACGCCCACCCTGTGGAGCACGTGGTGAGTACAGCGGCAGCCTCCCAGTAACCTCATTAGTCCAGTCCTGGTTATGCTAATGAGGAAGCCCAGGCTTGGTTAATAACTTGCCCCAAGTTACGAAAGTGTCTCCAGCAAATCAAGGTCCTGAAACTACTCCAGACTTCTTCAGATCTGAGTCAAGGAAGTCTTCCTGTGGTACTGCTCGGGGCAGAATGGACACCTGCCTTGGGTCCCCCTCCCTCGGCGCCACCTTCAATCTCTTCCTCCTGCAGGCCTCCAACATGCTGCCGGCAACAGTGGGCCCCTTGTTAATGGGCTCCCATTTGTCCTCCATCACTGTGTGGTTTTCCTTGGCGCTCATCATCACCTCCATCTCCCACTGTGGCTACCACCTGCCCTTCCTGCCCTCACCTGAGTTCCATGACTACCACCATCTCAAGTAAGGCTTTCTTCCCCACAGTGGGTCCTGGGTAATCACCACCACCCTCCCCTTCGGGCTTCTGATAGCAGACACCGGTATCTCAGTTTGAAAGTGGGTGCCAGTTGGAGGACGATGCCTACAGGTGGAGGTCCCTTACTGGAACCACTATGATCGCTGACACTGGGTCCTCAAGCAAGTGGGGTTCTTGAGCTTTATGTGGATCCTGGCCTCTTTGAGCATCTGTTACAAACTATGGATGCGCTCTTCAGAAAAGTGCCTGTGTGCATGAACATCTCCCATGCAACCTAGGGCAGCTGTGCTCTATGAAATCCTCCAGGCTTTTTCAAGCATGTTCTTTGAACTTCCTACACCATTCGCCTGGAATGCTCACTTGAGATGCAGGCTGTTGGACTGACACTCTAAATACGCTGGAACAAAGCATCTACCACAGCAGGGCCCGGAAACTTGCCCTTAACAAATTGTAAGGGGCTCTGACGCAGATGGTGCCTGAACCACACCTGTGCAAACCTAATGCTGCCAGGGCTCTCACCACACATGCATCATAATCACACAGCACTATGCAGAGAAGGCTCCAGGATTCGCAGGCCTGCAGGCCTTTGCAGTGGCTCCAGGTCATTCTGGTATTGGTGGCCAGGAGACAGGTGAGGCAGGAATATGAGGCAGGAGTGAGGCAGGAACAGATGAGATGGACACCCAGCTATGGGTCTCCAGCACCAGCAATGCAGTGCTCTCCTCTCTCCTCCAGGTTCAACCAGTGCTACGGCGTGCTGGGGGTGCTGGACCACCTCCACGGGACTGATACCCTGTTTAAGCAGACCAAGGCCTATGAGAGACATGTCCTCCTGCTGGGCTTCACCCCACTGTCTGAGAGCATCCCCGACTCCGCTAAGAAGATGGCGTGAGAGGGCCCTTGTACATCATGGCTGTCCCAAGATTCTGAGGTGGCTGAGGCCTCACGAGTGCACCTGACAATCTCCCCTCTTCAGCCATATGCTCTTGATGGCACCATTAGGCCAGAGAGAAGGCCAGCTTCCAGGAAAAGGATGGCACCGGGGTTTTCCCCCAGCTGCTGTTGGGACCAGACTGGCTTGAGAGTGAAGAAAGCTCCCGAGGCTGCAGGTCCGCTAGGGAGGAGAAACCGCTGAGCGGGATCCTGCCCTGCCCTCTCCACCCTCTGCTGGAGGCCCCGTGGCCAGGCCAGCTGCAGAGGACAGAGGTGGCAGTGGCACAAGGGGGTTCCTGGGCTCCAGGGAGAGTACCTTCTGGTCCCAGTTTGGGGAGTGAGGTATCGCTTTGCTTCTTTGTCCCCAAGAGATTTTCTTACCCCTTACCTGGCCAGAGCCAGGGCACGTTAGCCAGTAATTATAGGCCTCAGTTCTTAATCAACCAGACCCCAGGCTCCACTTCCACACCAACACAGACACGGTCAAAGACAAAGGCCCATTTCAACTCTGTCCCACTGCACACACATACCCTCCTCTAAAAAGACAGACAAAAACCCATAGGAGCTTCCCTGGGATTAGAAGCCATACCAGGGAGGCTCACAACAAACTCCAATTCCGTCAGCCTGTACAGAAACCAAAGGTCAGAAGCTGAGAGCTACTCAGTGGGTTTCCTTCTGCTTGCAAAGGGAAAGGTCAGTGGCTGCCCTTCAGGGATCCCTAACTATAGCTCCACACTTACGTGAACCAGAATGGAGTTCGGAACCCTCCTTCTCCCTCCACAAGGAACCCAGAAAAACATGGCCAAAGGGTAAAATCCTTTTCCCTCAAATGGTTAACAGCGGTTTCAACACCATTTATTCAGGATGGTTTTAGCAGCGACACTTTTTTCAAATGAATTTTTTTGGGGAGATCTTTTTGAGACAGGGTTTCACTATGCAGGTCAGGCTGCCCTTGAACTCACTTTGTAGCCCAGGCTGTCCTGGAACTCACGGCAATCCTACCTCACAGCCTTTCCAGTGATGGGATTACAGGTGTGTATCCACGCCCAGCTCTAATGAAATCTTACTGGTATCCTTATTTAAAATAAAGCCCTTGACAGGCAGACATAACTACATACTACAATAAGGAAGCTTACCGTGGTTTTACATTTTTATATTTTGTCACAGGTCTGTAATCTCAGGTACTCGGGAGGCTTGGGTAGGATGACTGCTCAAGGCCTATTTGGGGTCAGCCTGGGCAACAAAGCCCAAGATCCCATTTCTTAAAAAAAAAGTAAAAGTTTAATATCTGATAGGGCCAAACTTCTAGGCCAGTGACGGTAAACCTTTTAGACCTTTCCATGATACAGACAGCCCGCTGTGGCACATGTGCCGTAGGTTCCCCACGGCTCCTCTAGGCAGGACTATCAGAAAAGACTTCTGCCAGCACCAGGACCTCAGAAGCCTTCTGGAGTGAGCGAACTCCACACTTAGTGGGCAGCAGCCTCTCTGACTTTGGTGGACTCTGGTACCCTGCCCAAGGCAGCTGGTACTCTTGGGATGAAGTCCATCAAAGCTGCAAGTTCTCCCTGCTGCTGGCCTGAACAGCACCTGTTCCTTCAACTAAGCATCTGGAAAGAGTCAAACTTCAGTATATTTACGAAAGGTAGGGGTTAAGAACGCGTAAAGAGGAAAGAGAGCAATGCGTTTTTCCTCTTTAGGGTCTTTAAATTTTGAGATACTATAAGGGGCTGAGAGGGACAAGAGACCCATGTCTGGTTCCTTGTGGCAGGCAGGTAGTCGGTCCTTAAGAGGTGCTTGGCTCTATCTTCTCTGCATCAAACAGAATGGCCCCAAATTCTCACCAGATTGAGCCAATCACCATTTATTTTAGGTGAAGTGGGGGTTTTTTTTGGGTACCAGGAATCCAACTCAGGACCTTGTGCTTGCCGGGCAGGCACTGTGCCACTGAACTACATCTCTGGCCCCTATTTAATGCTCCTCAGAGGTCTGTGACAGCACTGCCATCCTGTGAAGGGAATTTGAGGTTACTGATTTTAGTACATACAGTAAAATCTTTTGTAAGCATAAGTCCTTCTGGAAACATGCTTGTAATCCAAAGCACTTGTGTATCAAAGCGATTTCTCCATAAGTCAAAAAGGAAGCTTAAGACAATTCATTCAACAAGCTACAAATATTCATATGAAGGATTATAATACAAAATAAAAAACGAAGTATAAAAAGTACATTAACTTGCACTTACCTTTGAACACCTCTGTGGCCAGTGTGAGGGAGTCAACAGGAGAGTTAATGCGTGACAACTTCTGTTCTTGTTCATTGGAATCACTGCTGTTGGTCCAATTTTCTTTTCCTGCAGCTGTAACAAGGAACCTGTACGATGACACTTGCTTTTGCTTTCGAGGAGTTTTTTTTTTTGTCTTTTTTTTGAGACAGGTTCTTGCTATGCAGTTCAGGCTGGCCTTAAGCTCACAATAATCCTCCTGCCTCAGCCTCCTGAGTGCTGGGATTACAGGCATGCGCCACCACACTTGGCTCTTTTGAGGGTTTTAAAGAAATGTGACACTGCATTGTCATTACACAGATTCATCACTACTACAGCCCATTTGTGGTAGTTTTCTACAAAATTTTGCAGTTTTCCACTTCTCCCTAATCTCATTCGAAGTGAGGGATTCCTCCACCTGTCTCTCCTCCTCTGCAGGTGAGCCCTCATAACCTCTTGCTGTTGGGAGATGAGTGCCCACAATCCCACAGCAAGCGAGACAGAAGAAGAGGTAAGAATTACTGGCTCAGTTGTGAGCACATGATGTCTGGCGTCACCTACTTGTATTCCAAGGCATTGCTAAGTTTATCTGGTTAAAATTTACTAGAAATGCTTGCTAGTCTTGCAGAACAAGTCACTTAAAATGCAAGGTTTTACTGTATTTCAGTTATTTTCTGTTCACTGCAGGGCTTATTCTGACTCTCATGATCCTGACACTAAAAGCTAAGGCAGTGCAAGTAAGTAGCCAGCAGCCTCTTCCATAACCATCCCTAACAGGAATGTGGAAATGAAGTTGGATTAATCCATCTTCCTGTCCTCAAAGTACCAATTAATCTGCAAAAGCTCTGGACATTATCTCAACTCTTCCTTTGGCCTAAGGAGGCTACTAGTAGCACTAAAATACCTCTCCACCTGAAGGACAGACAGAGGAACTCTCTAGAAAACCATTTGATAGGAAGTGCCAGGTATGGGAGACAACAGCTATCAGATGGTCCAGAAGGCCAAGCCTCTACAAAGGAGTGCAAGCTCCTTGTTCTAACCCTCCCCAGTGTCATGTCTCCGGGTTCAGTAGCTCACCTGGATCCCTTAAGACCACACATTACCTCACACTCCTGCAGAGAAGTGTCTAGAGAGGGGCTGTGCCCCCACTGCCCCACGAGGAATCACGTGAGCTTGTCTTCTTGGCTGTTACAATGCCATTTACAGCCAATGGATGGAAACCTTGGAAGCCAGGAAGTGGGCTGTAACCCAGGAATTCCATCTGCTGGGACGATAACTCACTTCTATGGTGCTGGCTATAGTTCCCATGTTTCACTTAAGACAAAAAGGTAAACACATGAACTCAAGGCTAGTAAAGAGGATCGTAAGATTACTGTGGAGGTAGATGTGGCGGGAGCCCCAAGGAGCCCGCCTGAGAAGACTTCAGAAAGCTCAAAGGCAGAGCCTTGCCTGAGATTTCACGTGGACATGCAGAGCAAGAGGTTCCCGGCTCTGGAGACCCCACCTGGGCCCATCTCTCACACCCAACAGCAGGGCCCCAAACAGAAGGAAGACCAGCCAGTATTTTGCCTTTTCATATTTTTATTTTTATACATTTTTTTTTGTATTAAAAAGAAAAGCATAATTACCACAAATTACAAAGGACTAAAGCAGGACTAGAGTAATGAATGAATCACCTCAGCCTGGGAAGCAGGTACTCTCAATAATATTAATGTTATAATACAAGCTCATTCAAGTATTTTACATTTTTTTTGTCCTTTTAAGTGTGATATCCTAGCACATGGTAAAGATAATGTACTACGAGCGTAAGGTGGAACCTTCTCCGCAAAGCCAGATGACAAGTTTTCCTCTGCAGTGAGAAATGGGCTGTAAGTTCTTGTCTTCTCTGCCTCTGCCATCAACATAGCTGAAGGAGGAAGAGGGCGCGGGTGGGGGAGAATCTAGGGCCCCTTTCATACAAGAGGTGCTTCAGGGTTCCCATTCCGGAGGGTGCCAGATAATCCAGACCGCTCTACCCAAGCTTTTGGCAAGAAAACCCTACCATCCTAACTACTCATCTCCTTGCCCCTACCCCCATATCCAGGGCCTTCCGAGCAGCTTGCTTTCTTTGTGAACCAATCATGGGGAAACGGGGGAGAGCTATAATGGAACAAAACAGAAATACTGAACAACTTTGACAGGGGCTCAGCACCTCTATCTGAGCCCCAGGGGGCCAGGCCAGGGCAGGGTTGGGAGGCTTTCTCTAGGGGTAGTGCATTTCTCCCAGGCTCGGGAAAGGGCAGACAAGAACCTGCCCCTGTGAGCCTGGCCCTTGTGTGGGATGCGCACGGGGTTGGGCGGGCTGTTGCGCGTGTCTCGGGTTTTAAACTGCCCGCAGGAAGATGGCGGGTGTGAAGTGGCGAGCCCTGACAGCCCCTGCCACCCTTGGCATGCTTGTCACAGATACATCGGTCCTAAATTCAAGTGTCTTCAGAAAGTGAAGATGTAAACTACTCTTTGCAACATTAACTCCTAACATGTTACAAAAAAGGTAAAAAGAAAAAAGCCCCCCTCCCTCTCTCCCTCTTCAGCCTAGGCTGAGATGAAACCCTCACCTTCCCACCATAAAGGGCTTCCTCCTTGAGGCTTGTCTGAGAGGAGCAGGAGAGGACAGCAGCCCTGGCCTAGGAGTAAATTCTAGATGAGAACAGCCTTTGCCCCACCTCACGGCTTCCGTGCGCCCCAAGCCCAGCAGAGGCCGAACACTGAGGTTTCTGTGGTGCTAGATACAGTATGGCGGACTCAAAGCAAAGCAAAGCAGGAAGAAATGAAGAGCAGGAAAGGGGTCCAGGAGTCCAGTGCAGGGCACCATGTAGGGCGGGCACCAACCAGACCCATCCGGGAAAGGCATCAAGTGCCAGCTTCACGGCTGAAACCAGACACTCCTCCTTGGTTTGAGACGACTGGGTCACAGGAACTGAGAGGGGCTTCCCACACACAGCGAGGGGGGGAGGCTAAAAGCAATGACGCACCCGCGACGGAGGGCAAGCCCTGTCAGCCTGGACATGGTCTCCTACTCCCAACCGCTTGGCCAACAGAGGAAGCCACTGAACAGGAGCGTCAAGGACACTGCAGAAACTGAGCAGCAAGACCACAAACTTCTCCCACTGGAGGGGAATGTGCAGTCACGCCCATACTAAACACACGTCCCAGTCTGTCCGGGTCAGTCCTTCATTGCCCTCCCTAGCTTCTGACGACAGCAGACTCCAGCCATTCCATTGTCATTACAGCCCAGCTCAGGCGCTCGGTGGCTGGAGAAGAGAAGTCAGGTATACTCTATGTCCACATATACCTTCCTGCCACAGGGCTTCACCAATCGGCAGGACCCCCCCCCAGCCCCAGTTCCTCATCTCTCGTTCCCAGGCAGAGTCAGCGAGAGGGCAAGTAGAGATGGTTTGCGGAGGGGGGGTGCCAGATGGGGAGACCCCACCAGACCCTCGGAGGACAAAGACACCTTCCACCACCTCTTCTGAGACAAAGCCTCCTCGAGGTCTCAATCTTTCAGGACAACATGAGAAATGCAGTCAGGCCTCAGCTGCCAGGTGTTCAACTGTCCCCTCTGGCATGGGGGAAGAGGTTCAGGCTGAGGACGAGTGTGCTCCAGATCCAGGCCAACTCTTTCCCAACAGTTTGAAGCCAACCTGGCCATGGGGTTCTGAGAGCAGGGTGAAGGACATCACGGCAGGACGGAGCCTGGCGCGAGGCAACAGCAAGCTGAGTGAGGACATGACAGCGGCAGCAGTACACAGACACAGGACGTCAGCTTCAAACGATGCAACAGCAGGGACATTCTGGGCACGGCTCACGTGCGAGTCGCCCCCAACTCTCTTGCCTCCAGGTGTGAGGCACTGTACATGCAACTCAGTCCAGAGGAAGATTCTAGCCAGTCCACGCCCAGGCACATCCAGAGAAGGTGGGAGCTGTTCGGGTTGACTCCACCGAGGAAAACAGGCATTTGGGTATTATTTCAGATTCCCGCTCCACAATAAGGCAACTTTTAAAAAAATATTATTTCCAAGAACAAAACAAAACAAAACAAAAAAATCTAAGGAGAAGGGGAAGACATCACTTTCTATGGATCAGAAGGGGGATTTCTGATTTTTTTTTTTTTAAAGTTTTTAATGGTCAATTTTTTCTTTTTTTTTCTTTTTTCTTTTCTATTTTCCAAAGGATGGAAAGGTCAGAGAAAAATAAAATAAATCATCTTTCAATAGTCTTTTCTGGTACGAGCAGCGTTTCTCTGGGCTGGGAAGGCGGTGGGGGAGGGGGAGTGGAGAGAAGCTGAAACCTTCCCCCAGCTCCCACTTTCAGATCCTTTGGTTTCCTTCTCCCAGAAGGCGGCAGAAGGGCAAGGGGAGGACGGTGAGAGAGCGCGGCCACGCCAAACCCCGGTGGTCGGGGCTGCTCTCCCTGGGCCCAGGTGCTGTCAGAACCTTCCATGGGGCCCGCAGGGCCTTCTGGTGGGCTGCATAGTTGGCTTCAGGGAGCAGGAGGAGGCTGTGGGTGGGGACCAGGGCTGCGGCCTACTAGCCGTGGGCAGGGCTGAAGAGTGATTTTGGTAATCCAGACAAACTATCAATAATTTAAAACTTGATATATATATATGTATATATATATATAAAAAATCTCCCCCTTTCCCTCCCCCCTTAGAAGAAGCTAGGATGGAAGAGTCGTGGAGAGAGGAGGGGAAGGGGAAGTGTGCAGGCTCCTGCCCAGGGTACCTCTAACAGCCCAAATGGTGTACACACTGCTACTCAGCACAGAGGCCCATCCTATTAACTCCAGGCTTGTCCCTTCTCTGTCCCCTCTCCTGGGACTGGGCACCCCCATGGACCCTTACCCACCCCACCCCTTCCCCCAAACCCCAGGGGCTAAGGGCGTTTCACTTTCCCAAAGTCTGTGTGTCCGAGTGCTGGCTTGTCCATTTAGCATCGTCCTGGGTGGGCTGGCCAGTAGGAGCTGTAGGGGGTTGGCTGATCATGGCGGCAGGCCTGCTGGAAGATTGGGAGGGGCACCGCTTCCTGCTCTCACCACTGCCACCACCTGCTACCACTGGATGTCGCTTGTGGTTGCCCTCCTCACCCATGGGGGGCTACAAAAGAGAAAGAGTCACAGGTAGCCTAGGGGGCACTATCTACAACTCCTTACCAGGGCTACCTGCAGACAACCTTCTATCTCCAAGGTAGATAGTGAAGGGGTCTGATCGTAAACAAGAATTCCCAGCCATTAAACATTTCTCTGTACCAAGCATTGTGCTCATTTATGCCCATTCTCTCATGAGGTCCATACCACCCTTCAATGTGGACATCATCAACCAATTTTACAGATGAGGAACCTGTCACAGAAATGTAATTTGCCTAGGATCTCATAGATGGCACGTGGCCAAGGCAAAATTTAGGTCCACTTATTCCTGAAGACCTGGCTTTTATCCACACAAATTTCTGCTCCCATGTAAGGGACCTGCTGCCTAGGAAACATTTGTGGAATGTGGCATGCAGCATGCTGTCTGAGCTCAGAAGGACAAATGCTTCTGGGGATCACCTCAATCCCCTTTAGGTTCCTAAACAGTCCAATGAAACAAAAATCAGATCACAATCCAGTATGGCCCCACCATTAACCAAAAGTTCTATAACCTTCAGGACACTTCCTTCCCTTTTTTGGGTACCAAAGCTCTCCCTAATAAATCTACCTATCACATAGGGTTCTCTGCATCCCCCGCCTCGAATGGGTTCTCTTTACACAGAGACCTGAGCAGTGCTGTCACCGCATCCTTGGGTGGTGAGTTTTCGTTTACCCATCTGTGGAAGACAGTCGCACGCCCTGCCTGCCTCACCAGCCTAGGGTTCAAACAGACCAGTGTACGCATTAGAGTGCCTATTACACAGAGTAAATACTCAATGGCAGTTTAAGTAGACACTTCACTATTGAGCCACACCCCCTGCCATCACAAACTCTTCAGTCTTTCCGTCATCTCTGGAGTCCCTGAAGCACTTGGCAGAGACATCCAATCCGAATCTGCTGAATGCGTAACTCCAACCACTTTCCTTGACAATATACTAGCAATAACCCAGACCCACCTCTGGATGTCACTGTTGAGGCACTGATCCAGAAAACACAGAGGCCCTGGACATCAATTTATAGACTTCTGGATTATGAATTGACCTTTTTCAGAAAGGGCAAACACATTCTCAAGGGTAGTCAATCCTGACATAAACAGTACTTGCGGAGGTCCTATTTTTGACTCTTAGTGGTGAACTTGGGCACAGCAGCAAGGAGGGTTGTGAGCGCTTAGAGAACCTTAAGGTGTCTTAGCAACATCCACAAGGGGGAGTGGAACAACCACACCACTCCCCACTCGGCGTTCCCAGTCTGTCCTCGCCCTCTACTTTACAGATGGGGAAACAGAACACAGAACCCGAAGTAGGGGGTTCCCTGGGCTAGCGGCACAGCTGGCCCCAAACCTAAGTACCCTGATTCCTGGAACAAGTCTCTTTTCAAGCACAAATGAGGAGTAGAAAGAATCGAGATTTTTCACTTACATCCACTCGGAAGTCTTCTAGACGTCGGAATTTGCCGAGGTATTCTTGTAGTTTGGGGTCAATGTCCAAATTTTTGGCTTTAGAATATTTCAAGAAGGCCCAGAACTTCTCTAACCCATAGAGCTGGCCTACAGGGAAAGAGCGCAGAGAAAGGCACTGAGAAGCTGGACTGCCAGGAAGACAAGGGTAAAGGGGCTACAGGAGAGGGCGGTGTGGTGTGAGAGAGGAAGACCCAGCTGGAACGAGACAGGAAGGAGGCCTAGAGAAGCAGGGCACGTGCAAGCCAGCTCTAACTCTTACCAGCTTCATAGTCCTTCACAGTTTCCTCCTGGAAATCCTTGAATATGTCCAGCCGGAACTTCTTCTCTAGACCATAACTATAGTATCGAAAAAGGCACTCTAAACCATATCTGTGGGAGGACAAATCAGAGAAGTCAGGGCATAGTGTCTTCGTCTGTCGAATGGGGAAATGTACGTATGTATGACAGCAGAGGAACTATGAGAGAGTTTAAAACAATGAGTTCTTCCTGTATTGACAAAAATGGCAAATACTCTTGAAAGCTAATTATTTAAGGCTCGTCTAAGTAGCTTCAGCATATGTTCAAGGTTTACCAGCGGTCAGCAACTCCATTCGCCCCTCCCCACCCCCATTTCTTCACTTCTACTCCATTACATGGTGCCCCTGGCTGCTTTCTGCTATCAGAGCAGAGTTGAGTACCTCGATAGAGACCTTCCAGCCCACAAACTCTAAAATATTTGCTATCTGCGCTTTCCCTAAGGACAGCATCATCCCAAGTTTGCCTGGACTGGGCTCCAATTCATGATTCCCTCCTCAGCCCCTCAAAGTGCTGGAGTGTGTACCACCACGCCTGCCTTATCTGTGCTTTTATGAAAAAAATGTCAACCCCTGGTACAAGCTCTCTGCAAAGCCATTTAACCACGCCAATTAGTATGTTTGTCCAATTATCTGAGTCAGAAATTTCACTTCTAGGAAATTTGTGCTAAGGAAATGGCCAAAAAGTATGAATTCGGATTTTATCAGAGTACAAAATATTTTGTTGTTGTTGTTTTTTCCTGGTACCAGGAATCGAACTCACAACCTTGCGCTTGCTGGGCAGGTGCTGTGCCGCTGAGCTAAATCCCCAGCCCCAGAATACAAAATATTCACAGCAGCATTACTGAACAAAATTCTAACAGAGAAGCAGTTAAGAAACACCATGGTAAATCCATAAAATGGAATATAAATTGTTATAAATTAGTGTAAATATGTACTGAGATACTGAAAAATGTTTGCAATGCATGTATTATTACGTGGAAAAAACAAATTTCAAGGTGTCATGCTGGACAACCCTGTTTTTATAAATAAATGTCAACTTCACATCTACACATACATGCAAAGCCCAGAAGGGAAAAGCATAAAAAACAGTCATACTGGTTATCTTTGGAAATTGAAGATTTAAGAGATCTTTCTCAGCTGTATTTTCTAAACTTTCTACAAAAAGCATTTAATAAGATTCTGTTAAGAAGGAAAAGCTACATATTTTAACAACATGGGAAAATGCTCATGCTTATGACAAAAGTGAGAGTCAAAAGTGCGCTCACGGGGCAGTCCTGACGGCGGCAGGTTATTCCTTGCTGTCTGTGGACTGAAGGATGCTTCCCCAGCTTCCTCAAACACTCAAATTACTTATAGAGAACACATTTACTATGAAAATCAGGGCAGCAAGAAAAGGAGATTTCTAAAAAAAAGGGTTTTGTATAGAATACTGTAAACAACTTAAGTTTCCATTAATAGGAATTGGGTTAAATAAATAACAATATACTCATATACTGTAAGACCATGCTATAGTACAAATATGGAATGATTTCTAAGATAAAGTATTAAGAAAAAATGCAAAGTGCAAAAAACAAAACAAAACAAAACAACCTGTATATAATGTAGGAGGCCATCTTTTGTACAAACAAAAAGGGGATGGCGGCGGTGTGAAAGAGGAAGCAGGCAATTATTCACTTCCACAGAGAGGACCCAGAAGATCTTAATGGTACTGGCTGCCGGGGGTGGGGGAGAGATTAGACAGCAGGGGGCATGGCTGAGAAGGAGCATTTTCACTAAATGTCCCTTTAAACTCTCTGAAATGGAGGGAACCATGTGAATTTATTACAGTATTTGCTTAAAAATAATACATATCCAAGGCATAAACATATGCAAGGCACTTCCAAATCCAGTTCTGGATGAGACTCAATGGGGCCCCTGAAAAGCCCCAAGAGCCAGACAGTCCCAGACCACGTCTGCTCACCGGTAGCCTTCTTTGGCATCCTCCAAAGCCAGCTGCTTGAACTCCTCATACATCTTCTTGTTGAAGTGATCTCGCAGGAAGAAGGACCAGAAGCGGAAAAGAGTGTTCATCTCCTGAGACTGGCCAATGCCCAAGCGCTTCCGCTCTGATGGGAAGGACAGAAGCCATGTGTGAGTGCCAGGCGGCTTCTGCTCCAGGAACAAAGGACTGTAGGGCCTAGGAATGAAGTCCTTTGTCTTGGACCTCCACATGCTTCATCAAGGGCTGCTTCAGCCACCCAGCAGAGAGTCACTGAGCACTAACTATTCTGTCCCAAGCCCTGCTGCTGGTTACCGCCCAAAATTGGGCATTAGCTTCTCAACTACACCATTAGTCTATTCTTCATCTCAACTGCTATCACTTCCAAGTGTAGGCAGAACACAAGGCAAAACATGAACAGATAACTTATATTAGCTAACAAACTGTATTCTGCTCATTACCACTATTAACAAGTACAAAATACTAACACGAAGAAATTATACAACAGCCAATGTACAAGCAACAGAATTAGTACAGACAAAATAGATATCATCAAAACAAACACACACACATACACATGCATTAAAAAGTGAAAAAAGCCAGGTATCATGGCACACGCCTGTAATCCCGTCACTCGGGGAAGGTGAGGCAGGAGGATCACAAATTCAAGCCCAAATGGGCAACTTAGCAACCCTGCTCAAAAATAAAAGGACAGAGGACTTGGCTCCATCCAAAGGCCTTGGGTATAAACCTCAGTGAAAAACATGACCCACAGGATAAGAGAAAATATTTACAGATGACATATCTGACAAAGGACTTATACCCAGAATTCATAAAAAAAACTCCTGAATTTAGTAATAGAACAAACAGCTTTAAAAAATTGGAGTAGACTTTTCTCCAAGAAGATATACAAATGGTCAATAAGCATGTGAAAAAAAAAAAATCCTCACCATCAATACCAACACACATGAAAACCATAGGGAAGGACCACTCTATATTCTGTCAGATAAGTGTAATAAAAGACACAAGAGTGGGAGGAAGTAGAAAACCAACTTTCATGTATTGTTGTGAGAATGTAATGTGGTGGCGCCACTACAGAAAGTAGTCCCAGAGTTCCCTGAAAGGTTACCATTGTAACATGTATCAGTACCATGGCTACCAAATGAGCCAGCAATGCTACCCTTCACCCAAGATACATGGAAATCTAAGTCCATAGAGAAAGAGTACACGAGAATGTGTAAGAGCATTACTACTGATAACAGACAAAAAAGCAGAAACTCGTAACACCAATCAACAGAAGAACAAAATGTAGTCATAAAATGGAATACGATTTAGCCATAAAAAAGGAATTAAGTACTGATATATGTTACAACTTAGATAAACCCTGAAAATACACTAAGTGCAACGAGTCAGTCACAAAGAAACATCATATACTAAAGTTCCACTTATGTGAAATGTCCAGAATTGGCAAATCCACAGAAATAGAAAGTAGACTGTAGGGCTGGCCGGAGTGTTTCAAGTTCTGCAGGGCTGGGAAGAGTTTAAAGTTTGGGAAGTGTTTAAAGTTCATGGCACAGGGAACGAGCAGCAGGGGTATAGGATCTCTTTTTGAGGTAATAAAAATATCCTATAGTTAATTCTGGTGATGGATGCACAACTATGAATATATTAAAGGTCACAGTAAGTGAATGGTATGGTATGTGAGTTATGACAAGAGAGGCAGATGAACCAAGAATACAGAACTCAAGTTTTGCACCTTTCAGTCAATCTATCAGAAGACCTACAATTATAAAATGCATCTCATTTTGTGATAAAAGAAAACATGCAAGAGCATCTACCAAGGTTCGTTGTTTATTTATGCTGTCTTAGTAAGTATTTCAGGCTTTGCAAGCAACACAATTTGTCACCAACTCTTTCCCCCCGAAACCCCTTAAATGTAAAAGCTGTCTTAGCTCGAGAGCCATAACAGCCCCTGGCTGGATTTAGCCACAAGCCATCCCATGGCAACCTGTGCCCTATGGAATACCGTCTACCTCCTGCACACTTTTCTGACAGATGGTGGGCCACACTGGGCAATGGCTCAGTCAGCAATCCTGCCAGAGCTACACATCATTGTCATTTTATCAATAGAGGGAGAGCAAGGAATGGGAATGTTCTGAGTGCTCAGCTTCCTGCACTTCAAAAGCATCTACCCTGAACCTTGAACCTAACTTTAGTTTTTCTTATTATAAGGTCATGACACTTCTCCCTCTAAGAACAAAAAATAGTCACCTGCCCTCATCCTATAGCTGTTACACTCTGGGACCAAGCACTGTACTGGCCCCAGAGGGTCAGCCCACTCCTTCACTTCTTACCGTTAAGGCAGCGCCTACGATACTTGTGGTAGACATGTTGTGTGAAGCCATTTTCCTTGAGCAGCTCATGGGAAGGATGCTGGAACTTGGGCAGTGACTGAGGAGTACAGCCATAGCTGCCAACTGCAGGTGTCCCTTCCGAGGGGCTAGAACTACGGAGATGACAAGAAAGACAGTGTCACCGGGTTCTCCTCAGGAGGCCTACTCTAAGGTGAGGAGGGGTCCCTTTAATTCCTTCTATGAGCTAAGATCCAACCTGTTACATTGCGCTGAGCCCCCTAACGTACACCCAAGAATCTGACAAACCTTTTTGCATCACCCTTCCATCACTGGGTTCAAGGAGCTATTGAACGGTAGAGAGCTGTGCAATGCCCAAAATCTGAACATCTGACCATTTATTTACCTAAACTGTAACATTTCACTGCCTTTAATGACCCATCATGCATTAACCCACCTCTATGTTTCTCAAAACAGTATTTTCAGCCATCAGTGGTTTCTGAACCTTGGCTTAGAACAGGTAATGAACACAGGTTACTTTACTAAAATCACATAAACAGGAGTGGAGGCTCTAGGCTAAGATGGGTCCATGCAGCTGGGGTGAAGCCAAGGAATCTAGAGCCTTGAACATGCTAGACAAGCACTCTACCACCAAGCTATGTCCCCAGTCTTGGTAAGTTGCCTTGGCTGGGTTGTGAACTTGCAATCCTCTTGCCTCAGCCTCCAGAATGGCTGGGGTAACAGGCTGGTTTTCTTTATGGGGCCCTGAGCCCACAGCCTCAGGCATGCTAAGCACCTACTCTACCACTGACATAGCTCCTGGTCTTGCATTTTTCCCCCTAGTACTGCAGATTGAACCCAAAGTCACTCTACCACTGAGCTACATCCCCAGACCATTTTATATTTTATTTTGAAACAGGGTCTTACTAAGTTGACCAGATAAAATTTGAACCTGAGATCCTTCTGCCTCAGTACTAGGATTACAGGTGTGTGCCACTGTGCCTGGCTTAACCCCTGTAATTTTATTCAATGACCTGGCCACCCTACTTTAGACAAGCAGCAGATACCCAGATTTGGAAATTAATTCAGAGATATTGCCTCTCTACGTGTACCAGAGCCAGGTCTCACGTGGATGTGACACTACTTTAGAATACTTCCCCTTCCCAGGCCCTGGGCTAAGCTTTCCCTGTTACGGGCTGCTTAGACTTAACTAATTCAGGCCAGTCATCTTGGTCTGGTGGATTTCACAGCCAGGATCCCCATTCCACAGGTAGCCTGCTCTCTCCTCCCCTGTGCCCCAGTACCTAATGGATGCAGTCCGGGGCCTGTGCTCTCGGGAGTCCATCACCCAGCCCACATGGCTCTCCAAAGGCGGGTTTGAGCTGTGCCTTGTCTTCCTTTTTCGAGGCATCTGTAAAGGTCAGTCCAGGTCTTATTATCTGTACTCCTACAACTCTGAGGAGCTTAAAGGAGCCTTATAGGAACAGACACCCTGCTGTGTGCAGGGTATCTCACATATTACAACAGCATTTTCCTATCTGTTCTCCCACGTAATGCCCATGGTGTGAGGCAGCAACAGGTCCAGCTACTTCACAGGTGAGGAAATGGCAGCCGGAGCGAGGTAATCTGCCCAAGGACTCACACCTGGTCAGTACCCCTTAGGCCTCCAGTCCTAAGCCTGGTGTATGCTGCAGATGTGGTCACTCAACCCTGAGTGAGTCCTTCAGCCTGAGGACGCAGCGAGCAGGGCCCTTGGCACTGCTCTGGTTCACCAGGTAAAGGAGACAAGCCAAGCAATGGAAGGCCAAGAAGTGGGCATAGGACCCAGGCCAACAGGAGCCCTACCTTGGCATCTAGCGTCCGTCCTTCTTTCACCACTGGGTAAAACCGTGACGTCTGGCTTGAGTCTTTGAGCTGTGGGGTCCGGGGTGTGCGGGGGGTCCTGGCATTGCGGTAGTTTGGCGATTCTGGGACAGTGGTTGGGAGAGAGCGGGCGATGGTGGAGGGCTCAGGAGCACCGAACAGCTTGTTGGCCAGCGCGTCAGTCGGAACTACACAGGTAGAGAGAGGTCAGCACGCAGAAGCAGGCCTGCGGCCTCTCCTACCCACACCAGGTCTCCAGGATCTGCCCCTTACCTTGTTGGAACCGTGGTGGCCCAGGAGGAACTTCCTGGTTGGGATCCACAGGGGGTTCTGGGGTCAGTGTGTCAAACTGCTCCCGGCTGATCATGTTGACTTTCTTGAAGTTCTCAACTTCTTGCTGCAAAGGATGTGAGATGGGTGACGAAAGATGTTTAGTCAGCAAGCTGCTCTGGCCTGCTCAGGAATCAAGCCTGGCAGGAAGCTGGACAACAGGGCCCACACACACATACGCAGAATTCTGGTCCCCAGGCTCTCAGCTGCCCGTCATCATTCCTCAACCCCAGTTACCTTGGCACTCAGATGCTAATCCCGAGGCTAGTGCTGGCCTTGTCCTCCCTGCACTCACTGAGATCAGGCTGACAGGAGCTGCCTGGGAACTCACTGCAGACCCCCCCAGGGGTACCAGCACTTCCCACATCTCTTCCTGCCGCTGCCTTGTCACACAGCGGCTGGGCAACTCCACCAAGCACACTCCCACTTGTCACACGTGCTCCCAAAGGCTCCCACCGCCAAACACACTCTGTGGACACCGAGACACATCTGGACTCTACCTACCTTTTCTCCACTTTCTATACTTCAAGCTCTTTGAAAGATGCCTTTCTAAAAAGCTCTTTACACACATTTAATTTACGTTTTCTCCCCTAGTTTACAGTATTCACACAGCTCTTGTTCTTAAGGCCCCAGCAAGGTATCAACCATCTCCTCTGCTCATATATGAGGATGTAAGGCTCTGGACTGGACGGATGTGCCCAAGGAAACACAGTAGTAAGCCATCTTCTCCACATACTACAGGTACCCTAAGTCCCACGCTGCTGCATGGGTCTCACCTTGATCTGGGAATACTCAGGTTCAAATTTCTCAGTCCACAGGTCCTGCTCATAGTAGAACAGCCCATCATTAATGACCTTGGCCAGCTCGGCACTCATCTTGGCACGAGAGGTGTGATTGCCTGTGCGATCCCCTCCAGGGTGCCGGCGCATGTAAGGTGGTGTCTGGGTGACTATGAGGATCTTGTTGACATCCCGGTCATCAATCTCATAGTCAGAGTCCTCATCAGACCAGGCGGTGAAAGTGTTCTTCCGCCCATCCATCTGTTCCATCTCCTCATCAAACAGGAAATCTAGTTCCTCTTGCTCATCTTGATCCTTACACATTAGCTGCTGGGAGGGAAGGTGCTGGGGCAGAGAGGTCGGGTGGGAAAACCTGGACTCCTCTGACTTCTGAAACAGAGATAGATCAAGAAGGAATCACCAGGGTGTCCTTCGGCCAGGCTCAGCAGTTGTCCCATAGGAGGGAGGTTCTGGTTCCTTAGCATGAGACTGTCACAGCTCTGGCCCTAGTAACACCAGCAGATCACAGATGTCCTCCCTAGAGTCAGTGTCAAGGAGAAATGGATGTCCCACACATGCCCAGGTTCTTCCACTCACAGCTCATGTAAGAGCTATTCACAAACCAATGTTTACCTTCATATCCTACAAAGCAGCTAGCCTGGGGGTGAGCACACAGCAGATTTCAAGAAGTTATTTACCCATTCATCTGACTATGCATCTCCCAGTACACTGGAAGCTCTAGAAGGCAAGGCGGCTCACTTTCCATTACACACTCAGAACCCAGACTGGGACTAGCAGTAGCAGATATGCAATGATCTGACAGATGCCAAGTATCCCACAGTACCAGACTCTAAAAAACCTAAAAGCAGGGCTGGGGATTTAGCTCAGCGGCAAAGCGCCTGCCTGGCAAGTGCAAGGTCGTGAGTTCGGTTCCCGGTACCGGAGAAAAACCAAAAAAAAAAATAAAAAACCTAAAAGCAGAATAAGGAATAAGACAAGGTCCCTATATTTAGGAAGTTTACAGTTCAGCAGGAAAAACAAGTCAACCAACTAGCCAACTGCAATGTAATACCATACAGACTATACACAGGCCTTTTCGTAGGACACAGGAGAGTGCAGTGCTTAAGCAACTGGGAATGGGGATGGTCACTGAGGGTCTCCTTGAAAAGGCAGCTAATAAAGGATGACCATAACTAAGCCAGATGAAGGCAGGGACAGAGTATCCTGAGGAGAAAGAACACGGACCAAAAATAATAGAAAACAGGGTGAATTCAGGAAGAAAAAATATTAGAGTGTTGACTGACTGAATTTGTGGAGAAGGACATTCTTTTGTTAGAGAAAGCACTGAGGACACACAATGATTTATTTATTGTTTGTTAGGGTTTCTTAGGATAAGGCTTCACTATACAGCCCGGACTGGCCTGGCCTTGAGTTTATGATCCTCCTGTCTCAGCCTCTCAAGTGCTGGGATTACAGGTGTGTGCTGGATTACATGTGGAGAAGGATAATCCTTTAATTAGCTCTATTATTCTTGCTAAAACATTGGGTATCTGCACATTTGTACTAGCTAGGCCCCTGGTTCTTGATCAATTAAAAGGTAACTGAGATTGCTAATCAAGACTGCAGTCCAAGAGGCTATAAGCCCCCTGATCCCAATTATGCCTCTCTTTTCTTGTTTCTCTTACTTTTTTTTCATCCACGGGTACCTCGTTCTCAGGACCTGGCTCCCCTGTATAGAAACAAATCTACTTACAACAGAATTTACCTGACACTCTGAAGCACACAGAACCTATCCAAAAGGCAATTCCCTGCTCTGCAAAGAGCTTCTCCCCGAAAACTCCAAACCCATCTCCTTTAAGGTTCAAGACAGGCCAGGCTGGAGGAGGTGCTCCAATTCTTGAATGGGTGGTACGCAGCTAATGCGGCTCCATCTTTCCAAACCCTTTGCAGCTCATAGGCCCAGGCCACGTAAAGTCCAGTCACTACCTTTCTCCTCATAACTCTGGCCTACCTACAATACTTTTTAAAGGGCCGAGGCCAGAACAGTGGGGAGTTCTGGGAACGAACAGGCAGAAAGATCACAAGCCAGTCATGGTGGTGAAAAGAATAAGAGAACACAGAATTCTGTAGTACAAGGTCATCTCAGGCCTCACAAGCCCCAAAGAGGTCATACAAGGAGGTGGGGTAGGAGGTGTTGATTTTAGTCTGCGATCAAAACATTCTTTAATACTAGATTCCATCTGTATTACACTAATATACATATTGCTTCACTAGTTCCTCTTAAGATCGAGAAACTGAAGCCTTGAGACATTCAACAAACTATGCTGTGTTTTAGTCCAAAATCAATGCATGGACTTTCCATTATCTGGGACGTGCATCTGCTCTCCCTCTTCTAAAGGCCTGAGGGCTTATATACGGGACTCTGAAGACAAATTCAAGGGAAAGGCACTGAAAATGCAGCCCCTGGGAATTAGATGAGATAAAAGGAACAGCCAAGCATCAAGAAACATGAGCCACTGGTGTCAGACGCTGCATGACCTCATCTTATGAAGAAGCACTTAGCCAGGTGTGATAGCATGTGTATGTTACTTCCAGCTACTTGGGAGGCTGAGGTAGGAGAACAGAAATGTTGGGGTCAGCCTGGGCAGCTTAACCAGACCTTGTCATTGACAACAACAACAGCAACAGCAAAAACACTCTCCCCAACTCCCACAATAGTAGCCACTCAGAAATACACAGTAGGGTGTCCTGAGGGGAGACCCCTGGAAAACGGAAATGAGTAGTCAACCCTGCAGCAGTCACTACAGATGACCTCAACTGCATCACAACCCGGGATTACTAGACTTCTTGCTCGACTCTCCAAGCCAGAGCTCTCTACTTACTTCAGCTCTCCTAGGACTCCAAACCAGGGACTGCAACCCACGGCAGGGAACATGGCCTCACCCACCTTGGGCCGTGCTGGGGAGGGCCGAGGCCTCTTCTTGACTTCAATCCAGTTCTCGGAATCCAGGTCAGGCAGGCTGGCAGACAGGCCCTTGGGCAGTGTCTTTAGGTTGCTGACCTCCTCTGTCTTCGTTGGCACTGGGGTGACTGCTCGAGGAGAGCCAGGTGCCGACTCTGAAGGGTGAAGACATAATGTCCTCATCACTCTAGTCCTCCTGAGGTCAGCTCCGAGGAGGACTGCAAGCTGGGGGACGAGGACAAGAGGGGGCGTCGACATGCTGAGAGTGGACCTACCTGTCTCCTTCTGGTAGTGCTGGCGAGGAACAAACTCAGGGCAGTTGAGAAGCTGGGAAAAATCAGTCTGTGAATAATCCACTATGGGGGGACCTGGAAGAGGCCACTTCTCAGGCTCTTCCCTCCTGCGGACTTTCTCGTCAACGATCTCCACCACCTTGCTGTCCTTTAGGGCCTACAAAGAGGAGGGAGAAGGGATGAAGAGAAAAGACTAGGACAACGTGAGGTTTTGAAGATGCTAGACAAGTAGGCCCCACTAAACCTGGGTGTTAAATTCAGCACCAGCAGTACTATTAAAAAACTGGTACCAGGCCAGGGATATAGCTCAGCAGGCAGAAGCACCTGCCTGGCAAGCACAAAGTCCTGAGTTCGATTCCCAGTACCAAAAATAAATAAATAAATGAATGAATGAATGAATGAATGAATGAATGAAAATAAATAAATAAAAAAAACTGGTACCTTCTTGCATGACTGGCAGACATAGGCAATGTTTAAACTTGCTGGAAACCAACATGAAACCACACCAACCTGTTGACTTTGCAATTCTACTTCTAGTAAACTAGAGAACACTTAAACAGGTGATAGTATCTGTTAAGATTTGGGCAAAAGGTAGGACAAAATAGCAGGGCTTTTTTTCTACAGCAAAATTCTGATAGAATGTTTTTTAAAGGAAACTGTCATGGTACAGCCATTTCATGGAACATTACTTGGACCTTTATAAAATCAGCTTTACAGTTATAGTGCTAAAGTGCAAAAACAAACAAAATTATTGTCAAAACAGCAGGTGTAAGCCAGACATAGTGAACACCTATGATCTACACTACTCAGAGAGGAGGAGGCAGGAAGATTTCAAGTTCAAGGCCAGCCTAGGCAACTTAGCAAGACCATGCCTCACAATAAAAATGAAAAATGGGCTGTGGATATAAGCTCAGTGGTACAAGCCTTGTATGAAGCCCTGGGTTTAACCCCTACTACCCTCCATCCCAAAAGCACAAGTCAGGGTATAGAAGGTCTCTTTTGTGCTTCAATTTTTAAGTAAAAGCACAGATACACTCAAACTATTGTTATGGCATGTATGTAGATGTTTTCCCCAAAGACTCATGAGCTCATAGGCGGGGATTTTCAGAGGTAGCTGGCACTAGGGTGTGTGCATATGGATTAAGGATGTGTGATAACTAAATTAGTCCATTGACTGGTTTAGCATAGCTCTAGGTGTGGATGATGGGAAGGTCCACCCTAGGTGGGAGTTTCACCAACCAACGGGACTGTAGCCTAAATGGAATAAAGAGGAAGGGAGGCTTGCTATTGCTGTTGTGTTGCCTTCTGTATGTTCTGCTATGGACTGCTTCTCTGCCACATCACCCTGCCTTGGAACCGACTATGGACACAATGAGCTAAAATAAACCTTTCCTTTAATCTAGGACTGTTGGGTACTTTGTCCCAGCAATGAGAAAATAACTAAGAGTCTGGTACCAGAAGTGAGGTTGTTTCTGTGACACTACCTGGCCATGTGGTTCAGAAGCCTTTGGAACTGGCTAGTAGAAGAGTTTGGCCAAGTTCAGAGGCTCTGCAGGAGACTGAGATTGAGTGTGACAGATTAATCTGGTGGAAGAAATTTCAAGGCAGTCTAATGTTGGGGTGGTGGTATGGCTATCTGTTGGGGGCTTTTAGCCCTATCTATGTTAAGAATCAAGACCAAAGAGCAAAGTAGAATGGTTTAAAAATTTTTGAATTTAACCAGAAAGGAAGCTCCAGTGAAGTTGTAGCCTGTAAAGATGGAGCAGGAGAACTTGGTTGCTGACCAAAAAAAAAAAAAAAAAAGACAACAGAAAAGGCAGCCAGAGGACATCACAAAAACTGGCAGGACTTTAGCCTTTACAGTCTCAAAATTGCAAAGGTGAAAGACTTTGCTTTAAGAAGAGAGCTCCAGAGAACCATGTTCCAGAATGGCCTACAGAATTTATTCCTTGTGTTTATCTTACTCAGCAATCCAGGCACTTCACCCTTACAGCCAAGAGAGAAGGAAGCCTGGCTACTGCCCAGCTGGCGGCAGACTTTGGTATCACCACATGGTGCCAGTTTTAGGTGCACACAAGAATGCAAGAGTTGTGGGGTCATGAAGGCTTCCACCCAGATTTCAGAAGGCCTGGGAGGCTAGGCAGTGTGCCTCTGAAAGGGCAGTAAGTGAAGCTCTGTGTATGAAGCTGAAAGTGCAGTGGAGAACCCAGAATGTTGGAGAAGCCAGCCCAAGAGGAAAAATCTGAGGAAGGGCTGGGGATATAGCTCAGTGGCATAAGCACCTGCCTGGCAAGAGCAAGGTCGTGAATTTGATCCCTGGTATTTGATCCGCCCCCCCCAAGAAAAGAAAAATCTGAGGAAAAGCCACAAGGAGTGAGGAAAACCAGGCCAAGAGAGAGGCCATGAGGGCTACAACCACTGGCAGTGCCAGTGGGTACTGCCACCCAAGCCCTTTAGAATTCAGATCTTATACAGATTGCCTCAGATGCTGGCCATGGGACTATAAAACTTAATATTTGCCTTGCTGTATTTTGGTCTTGTTTTGGCCCCGTTCCTATCATCCTTTTGGAATGGGAATGTTTACCCTGTGCCACTATATGCTGGAAGCATTTAACCTTCATCTTTACGTGGGGGCTTGAAGCTAAGATTTTGCCTTAAATCTCAGAGACTTTGGACTTGGACTTTTCAGTAATGCTGAAACTGCAAGAATTTTGGTAACAATTAGAGAGGGACTAAATATATTTTGCATAAAGGGATGCAGGTGAGCCTTTTCCAACGATTGGTTTAGCATAGTTTTGGATGTGGATAATGGGAAGGCCCACTCTAAGGTGTGGGTGGCACCAACCAACAGGCTTGCAGCATGGATGAAAGAAAAGGTAAACGAAAGCTCACTGTTGCTGCCTCACTGCCTTCAGCCTGCTCTGCCACAGACTGCTACACCTCTGCCACGCCACCCTGCTTTGCAGCAAGCCAACTATGGACCAAAACCTCTACAAACCGTAGGCCAAAATAAACCTTTCTTCCCTTAACTTGTTGAATGTTGGCTATTTTGACCCAACAACAAGAAAGTAAAACAACCTACTGTGGGTGTTTCAGATCTGAGAAAAAAAGAGTGAAAATTAGAGCAGGGACAGGAGACTTTACTATTTAAAAAAAACTTTTTGAAATGTTTTGAATAAATGAAAAAGGGAAATGTGAGTATGTGATAACATACTCTGTTAATGAGGCTAAGGAGGAGGCACTTTGTATACTGCTGAGAATGCAAAGGGTAGAATCCCAGATAAGGCAATTCGGCAGTATCTAGCAAAGCTGCAGATGCATTCAATGTTAATTCAGCCATCCTACTTCTAGAACCCTAAACCAAAGATTTCTGGCAAAAGAAAAATATAAAAAACTACACATATCAGGCTATTCATTAGCACTAATGCAGTTCATGCATTAGTGAAAGACTGGACACAATGAACATGCATCTGTGGCTAGTGAAAAAAAAAACCACAGAGCATCCACCAGTGATGGATGAAACAACTGAAATAGCGAGGACCACTTACACTACTCCACAGTGAGAGCCCAGGTACATAAATTAAAAACCAAACCAAACAACTGAAGAGATTCATGAATACTACATATGTCACCACTGGCCAAGACTGGAGAACAGGAATGTATCTAGAGGCATTTGCTTTTTTTTTTTTTTTTTTTTTTAATGCAAGCATTTAGAAAAGGTCACCTATAGGGGAAGGAGAAAAGGTGACAATGACAGAATTTAAGTTAAGACTTACATGAATACACTAGGCTGGAATCATGTTAAATATTCTATATAAATGAAAAACAAGTGAGAAAATTACAGGAGTGGGGGAGAAACAATCCCTAAAAACTTCAGCACAAGGTCAAACTAATAAAAACTAAGTTGAAGGTTTAAGCAAAGATTATTTCAAATGACTTGAAAATATAACCAGTTATAGTGGAGATGTTGTAAGTGTAATGTTCATATACTGTGGAATCAAACAAGTAATCACATTGACGCTATTAGGAAATTCTGCCAAGAGAGAAAGAAAAAATACAAGAAAAAGGTACAAATATCTTTAGTACTAGGTAAAGAACCTTATTCCTGAATTTTACTTAAAAATATCAGTATAATCTCCTACTGTATTTTATCTTACCACAAACCCCTTAGGAAGGGGCTGGGGATTTAGCTCAGCGGCAAAAAGCGCCTGCCTGGCAAGCGCAAGGTC